CAGCTGGGACTATATCAAGCTGAAAAGCTTCTGTAGAGCAGAAGAGACACTTCACTGAATGGGAGAAAATATTTGCACACCATACATCTGCTAAGGGACTGATATCAAAGATCTACAAAGAGCTTATACAATTCAATGGGGGAAAAAAAAAGCAAACAATGCAATCAAAAAATGGGCAGAAGAGCTAAATAAATAGACACTTTTCCAAAGAAGAAATGCAAATGGCCAATGGGCACATGAAAAGAGGGTCATCACTTATTATCAGGGAAATGCAAATAAAAATCATAATGAGATACCACCTCACACTTGCGAGAATGGCCCATATTAAAAAATCCAGAAACAATAAGTACTGGCAAGGATGTGGTGAAAAGGAACCCTCTTACACTGCTTGGGGGGATGTAAACTGGTCCAGCCACTATGGAAAGCTGCTAGGAATCTACCCAAAGGATACAAAAATACTCATTCAAAAGGAAACCTGCAATATGTTTATTGCAGAACTGTTTAGAATAGCCAAGATATGGAAACAATCCAAATACCCCAAAACAGATGAATGGATCAAGATATGGTATATATGTACAGTGGAATACTACTTAGTGATGAAAAAGGATGAACTCACACTCATGTTATTTGCAGCAACATGGATGGAGCTGGAAGGCATTATGCTAAGTGAAACAAGTCAGGAGAAAAAAAGATAAATATCAGATGGCTTCACTTATATGCAGAATATAGAGGACCCAAAGAAAGTGTCAGAAAAAAAGAAGACAAAAATTGCAAGCTGGCCATAGAATGAGGCATTTATTAGGGGAGGGGAGAGAAGGTGTCAAAATAGGGGAGGGAAGAGCACAAGAGACTGTGATGATGGATCACAGGTGCTATGGTGGTGGGATAACTATAGGGACCACATTGGAGGGGAGAAATCAAATACTGCCAAAAATTAGCAAAAACATAAGAAAATAAGTAAATAAAACATTAAAAAAAAGTGTTGCCCACATATTAGAAATCTGACCTTGTAACAAATCAAATAATTTTACTGGCTTGGTAAAGTTTGCATAGAAATGGCTGGACAACCTTGGCAGTAAAGATCTCCTGGCAATAGATGAAACTAATTAGTTCATCCTCATCATGCAGCTGGGCAGGGTTTCATAACTGTAGTGAGGGGTCTAGTTCCCCTGCTCCCTGGGACAAAGTGATGCTGTTTCCTCTAAATACACAACACCCCTTAGCAGGCCTGTAAAGGGTATGTCTGCACCCTTTACAACTGATGGGCAGGCATGAGAACCCTGAGGCAGGTCCTGCCAAGGAGCAGCAAGAATTTACCACCATGCTCAGGTAATACTGGGCGCAGTATCCTGTGGGATTCTGCAGCCTGCATAAGCTCATGGCTCTACAACCAAAGTGGAAATAACTGACACTCATTGCAGACTACAGGGATTCTATGATTTTAGTGTGAATAAAAGTTACAGAATGCCCTCAAATCATTTGGCCATTTAAACACATTTATATGTATATGGGTTTTATTTATATTAAGCATGTGATATACTTTGAAAGAATACAGGTGTAGTTATAAAACACAAAGGTAGCAATTCACGACTTCAAGACTGAATGACTCCAAATTATGTGCATAATTGGATTCCCAGGAAGAAAGTTCAATTTCCAGCAAATACACAATATCTTAGTAAATATATGAAAAAATTAGACAATGTTAGTTTTTGAAGAATTCCCATGGGAAAATCACAAGGGTTATTAAATTCTGCAAATAATTCCATTACACACAGATACATCTCTCATTGGCTAGATAAATATAAATGCACTGAGTGTTTTGCAGGGCACTTGGGAAGGAAGCAGGCACTTAACACAATTATGAAACACACAACTCCTTGTCCAGGATTAACTTTTCTTTTATAGACAAATGGGTTTTAAAAGTATGTTGCCAAAAACTTGAATTCCTAAAGCCACGAAGACTGCACTCTGCATTGTACTTGTTTTTGTAATGTGCTTAATTTATCTTAATTCTTCCCACTAATTACCTTTCAATATTTTAAGTGATTGTTATATGCTTTTCATTTTAAATGCTAGTTTAAAAATACAATTCTTTCTTTTCTTTTTTTAAATCACACTATTGACAATTATGTGAGAATTGTCTTCATTTATCTAAATATTGGAATAATTAAGTTATTTGTAGTAGAAACTCACTTAGTGTATTCAAATAATCATGCAATCAGTTTCGGCAACATGTGGCTATAGTAAAAGCATTGCACATTTAATAATTATAATCTTTAAAATGTCAATGCTGTTAACATTTGAACAACAGTTTTGTCATTTATTTCACACAAAACCAGCTTTGTATATATGATCTTTGACCTTTTATTCTTAACTCATAAATCCTTAAAGGATTTTTTAAAATAGCCAATATGTCAATGTTGCCTCATCAGTGAGAGATTCAAGGCAAAGTTGTTATCAAATTATTCAATGTGATGCTTTTGATCTTTTGTAGAGCTCTTTTTTTCTCCATCCAAAAGCCTTAAGATGTAATAAAGCAAGGACACTACAGAAATGCCATGCTCACTCACCAGTTTTCAGATGAATAAGAACTCCAATTATGTAGTGAAAACAGTAATGACCTCAAAACTAAAAGGGAAGCATTATTGGGAGAATAAAGAACAAGTCTCAGAGGAGGAACAAAAATTTAAGCCATTAAATAAAAAGAAAAGAAGGAAGGAAGGAAGGAAGGAAGGAAGGAAGGAAGGAAGGAAGGAAGGAAGGAAGGAAGGAAGGAAGGAAGGAAGGAAGGAAGGAAGGAAGGAAGGAAGGAAGGAAGGAAGGAAGGAAGGAAGGAAAGAAAGTAAAAGTGGATGGCATTGCTGGGCAGGTGTTTTGTTGTGGTTTTTCTTTAGTAAAACATGATATTGAAAAAAACATACAAGCAAATAAATACCAGGGAAATAGAAATGAAAGCACAGCAAGCAAAACCCCTAAAGTGTTTGAAAATTCAACATTCTGACTTTTCTCCCAATAAAATTAAAAGAAAAGAGAGACTCACATTAGTGTGTTCGACTTACCTACTTTAGTTCAAGCGAGATAATCAGCTTTTTATCCTTAAATATTTCTTATGTAGTTTTTCCTATAAAATTGTAGGAAAATACCGTGCACTTCTATTTTAACATCTCTTATTAAAATTAAAGTGATTAGCTAAATCTCAAAGCCTTAACAGCAAAGGATATGGAAACAAAGAGAAATATACAGTAAGGGATACTTAGAGCTTATAGAGGATATTTTATGAAAGGTTTTGTGTCGTTGCAGAGCAATACCAATCAAGTCTAGAAAACATCTTAAGGAAACAGATCAACCTTTATACTAATGTCAAAGAAACTGCCACAATAGCACATTTTTGCAAATGACAATTCGGTTGACCCATCTTCATATGGGTCATTTCAGTTAAAATTATGTAAAGGCCATCTTTTTCTAGAAATGAGATGTTTGGTTGTTTTTATATTCGTATATGTCTGTGTCTCTTCGCAATCTCTTTTTGTGTGTATGGTAATAGCAGTAGTACAGCTTCCTGCCAAATTAAACATTTCAAACTCTTGGCAAGCCAGGATGATTAAACATGAGTTCTACTCATTTTCTATATGGTAGTGAAAATACCTGTTTGATCATTTATTATTATGTCCAGAAAAAAATGAAAATGTTTCAAAAGATCGTATCATCTTGTTTTCAAATTTATAGTTATGTAAATTTCAAATTAAAACATTTTCACTATAAACTTTTTCCTTTTTCTTATTAAAGGACTGAATTGGTTTTCAACTCATTAAGCAGATATTTTCAAGATAATAACAGAAATCAAATTTCAACTTTCAATATCTAAATGTTATTATACTTTGCTCCATTATTATTACTTTATTTTTCAGTCTGGGAATATTTTAGTGCTGATTTGTATGAGAAAAGCTCTCTGTTATTTTTTGCCCATAAGTCCATTTCCATTTTTAATGTTGATCCTGGAGTGCTAGACTGGAGAAGAATTAGAGGTAAGATGACTTGATAAAGGTGTTTGCTGCTTACAGAACTAAAGCCCTTCTTCTTGAACCTAGACATGGTCCTTATCATATGTGTTATGCAGTGGCAAGGCACCAGCATCTAGATGACCTTTACTCCTATCTGTCAACCATTGTGAATACTTGTTAGAGCTTAGACTTCAGGAGTTGCTGATGAGGTTACTGGAGAGGAAAGTGAGTTTATGTACCATATTACTTTCTTGGACTAAGGTGTACCTGCCTTTCATTATGAGGAAGAGCATCTGCCAGGCATTCCACCTCTCTGCAATATACTTTCTTTGTGCGATCTTGGGAAAGACAATTTTTATTAAATCACCACTTTGGAATATTTTACATGTGACCTGTGATCAGAATACTCTGCAACACCTGGGGTTCTACTAGATGAAGAATTATGGACTCTAATCTCTGGTGCCCTAAATTAAAATTGTGGTTCAGAGATAAGCTTGGTGTGTTCTTGGTCCAGGAGTGAACTTAATACAAATGCAGTCCAATACATGAGCCACATTTGATTATAGCCTTAGGGCAAGCAAAGTAATTTAGTTTTTATGTAATCTCTCCACGTGGCTAATCCTAGGTGAGTGGTAAACATTAACTGAGGGAAAGAAATGGGATAAATAGGACCATCCTTGAAACATACTTTGTATTTTAATGCTTCATGGCTCATGTGCTAGGAGCGACTAGTGCTGAATACGTATTTTGCTTTTTGGGTTTACTACACAAAACAAGACCTTTTTTTATTTTTATTTTTTATTTATTTATTTATTTATTTATTTGTTTGTTTGTTCGTTCGTTTTGTTTATACATGCACTGGGTACAGTCAGAAGCGCGGGAGGGTGAGAGAACTCACCAGAGCCAGAGCGGGGAGCAGAGCAGGCAGAAGGACCGAAGTACACTGCTGAGGGGAGCAGCGGGCGGCAGGAGAGGTCTGCGCGCCATGTGGGACCCTCCTCCTGTGGCCGGGGAGCAGCCGGGGATCGAACTGGCGCCGCAGAGGTCGCCGGCAGCCTTGCAACCCAGCGCTCAACCGCTGCGCCACCGGGGAGGCCCAAGACCTTTTTTTAATTTAGAGGCAGAAGCTACTGAGTAGCTACAGAGCTATTATTGCTTGCATCCTGTTTTCTATGGGAAGCTATTTTATTTATTTGTTCTGCTAATTCAAGAATAATTCTCTAAAGACAAACATTGAAAATAAGGCTCTGTTTTATTGAACAATAAAGAATTTTGCCTGATGTTTCCACTAAAAACATATTTTTATGATTAATGTATATTAAATCACATATTAAGTAAATAGACATTAAGGAAATGATGTGAAAATCCCGGTTCTTTTTATTTAAGAAAGCTCGATTTCCCACAGACTCTTCAAAGGGAGGAGGACGAGAAAGAAGAAAAGAGAGAGGGGAGAGGAAGAGAAAAGGAGATGAGAAGAGCAGGGGAAATTTTTCTATTTTAGGAAAGGAAAGGTATGTTCTGTATTTTAGAAGTTTTCCAATTTATATATAGTAGTCTCATTAGAACAACTCACTGTAGAGTGATATTTGGCATAAACCCAGCCCAGTCCAAAGGCTCAAAACACACTTCTTGTAATACTGAGTCTCTGATTACTAGATTCTTGACAGACACACCCAAGATTGTATGATGCTAGATTGTGAAGCATCCTAACTACTAAGATAACATACAGTTGACTAAGCACTTGCTCTAACCATTCTACATAAATCAAATCTATTGCCAAGTAGAAAAAGCCCACTCACTTTGAAGCTGCTTAACTGATGCTCATTCCTATACCAGCGATGAGGTAGCCAAAGACGTAGCTAAGCATCTGCCAGAAGGCAAAGCAAAAGAAAGAGGATAATTACAAAGTGATGAATATGTATTTGATAAGTGAACTCCTGGGTTATACAGTACTTTATGGAAGCCCTTTGAGGGCCGTTTGAGTTGTATGTGAGGCCCCCATGGGAAGGAGACTACAGTCTACTCTATTCTTTAAAAAACTCTGAATGTGAAGTTGAGCTGCCCAAGAAGAGAGGTAAGTAGGAAAACTCCTCCTCAGCACCAGGATAACCTCCTTTTTCCAATTAAGAGAGGACTAGCCTGTGGGATGTGAAAAAAAAATTGGCCTAACATCTCTCCATCAAGATGTGTAGTTTGGGCAGGTTTTGGCCTGTAGTTTGGGCAGGTTTCAGCCCTAGAGGGTTAGTCTTTAGGTATGATTCTTAATCTCTTGACCCTACTTTTGTTTGAAATATATTTACTAGCTTTTGGAAGACTGGTCATTAAACGACTAACATTTTTCCTTGCCAGTGGAAATTTCTGTCATTTGGTGAAAGCACATTTCTTAGAAAGGCAATGGGAAGCACTTTAAAATCCTTGGTTTTGTGGAGTGAATGGAAAATTGTTAGAAGTTATATTTTTTCTGATATTGGAGATGGACCTCGCTGAATCTTTTTTGATACTGTTAGAAAACCATGCATTCTTCTTGGATCAAAGATTATATTTAGTGGTCCTGGCCACCTCCAAGACCTTTCTGGAGTGACAGCTACAGAAAATCCCACTGTTTAGAAAGTTAACAAAATATCCTAAAACCAATTTAAATTCTGGACATTGCTGTGTGACTATGTGACATAATATGAGGGTTAACATTGGTGTCATCTCTCAAAATGTTCCTTTACTTTATAAAGTATGTGTAAGAGGCACTTTGGTTAAAACATTTTATATTAATAAATAACACTTTCTCCCTTCACCATCTATTAGGATGTTTCTTATTATCACACCCAGGCTCAGTTCTTAGAGAACATTGTCTTGTAAATGTGAATCTAGCGCCATAGCATTTCTTTGTCATCAAAATGTGACCAACCCTCTCATTTCCTACAAATGTCGAGTACCAATAGGTGTGTTGTCATACAAGAACTCTACTATTCTATAAGAACTTCTCACTACCTACCCCAACAGAGCAATCTCTCTTTAACAAGCTCTTCCAGACTTAACACAGTCTTTGGTTTAATTTAAAATTAAATAAGAAAATAAAACTAGTGGGTCTGAGAAGGATGAGAAACAATTCAAATTCAAGTCAGTGAGTTGCTTGTCCTCTAACTTTCTTTCCACCTCCTTCCATGTAGCAGAAAAGGTAATTAGTGGGTTGAGTTACCCTGGTCATAATTTTATGCCATCTTTACCTGATAGAAAGCTTGCCACAATGAGCAGTGTGTTAATCATTCTTTCAGACTACCCATTAAATACTTTCTAGTCATAAATTGCTATACAATGAAAAAGCATTGTGATAGTTGCACCTTCCAGGTTCATACAAATACAGCAAAAATAGACTCCTCTTAAGTATCTAAGAGAGTCTGTTAGCACCTTTGAAGAGATTCATCTCCACTGTGTAGAGAAAATGCCTAAAATGGGAGGTACATTTCTTGCCCTCCATTTATGGATTCTGTGTCCCTGTGAATACAGAGTAGATGCCTCTGGGCAAGAGGAAAGAGGTGGTGTGTGGTCTGAATTTGTCCTTTGATGCATGAACGAGTAGACAATTCAAATCCAAGTTCATTAGTCCACAGTTCCTCTGAGCAGCTTCATCACAGGACTCCCAAATTTTCTGCCATGAACAGAAGCATTTGGGTTCATATTGTCTTTTCTGAGGCACTTGAAAAATAGGCTAAGTTCCACCTTCAGTCATCACACCTCTGAGCTGTCGCTGTGGTGGCTCTGCTGGGGCATCATGGGCTCGCTGCTGCCTGAGCCCTTCGGGGCGGCCTTCTTCCTGGCACTCTTCTTGTTCCTGCACATCATCGCTGTGATGGCGGTGAGGCAGAGGGTGAGTAATCCTGCTGAGATGCCTCCCACGACTGTGACCAGGTTGACCTCAGAGTCAGGACTGTTGAGTTCCCGGGGAAGGACACCATCAGGAGGAACCCGCCCTTGGGGGACTTGCTTCTTGTTGGTTCTGTCCAGGGCAATGTGCTGGATATTTGTTCCTCGGTTGTTTTCAGCACCGATTTCCCACACCAGCGGGGGTGTGTTCCTGATCTCCCTCTTCTTCCGGCTCTTAGTAGTTGCCTGGGGCTTCCCTTGACCCACCAAAGAGTGGTACTGCTCCTCCACACTTCTCTTGCCAATTCCTCGATTGGCATTGTCTTTTGATCTTACTGTGTAGACTGTGTGTATGTACCACTCTCGCCCCAGAGCAACCTAGAAAACACAACTCTATTCATTAGAAAATGAAATACTATGCCAACCTTTTCCTGATTATTTGCAAGAGAAGTTGATGACAGAGATAATAAAGGATAATTTAATCATACTCGTGGAACTAATATACTTAATAATAATTTTGTATGTATGTAGGTGCAAGTTTTTGTGTAAAAGACCCTATAAAATATACTGTGAAACTCTTTTTTTAAAAATTAATATTATTTTTAAAGATTTATTTATTTATGCATATAAGAACTTGGATACAGGCCAGAGGTGCTGGGGGTGAGAGGATTCACCAGAGACAGAGTGGGGAGCAGAACAGGCAGAATGAAATAAACCACGGAGGGGAGCAGCAAGTGACGACAGGAGAGATATGCTGCACCATGTGGGGAGCTCCCTGGCTGGCTGGGGATTGAACTTGTGCTGCAGAGGCTGTGGATAGCTTCACAGTGCTATGCTTAACCCCTTGCGCCATCAGGGAAGCCCATACTGTGGAACTCTTAAGGGAGCATAGCTGGCAAATATTTGATGATCTGTGACTCGTAGTTGCCAAAGCTATAAAGAGCTGTAGCGATCCTACAGACTGACTTGTTTGTTTACAAATGGGTACATAAGGACACAGGGCAGTTGAGTAACTCCTAGAGTCACTCAACTAGTCAGTGATGGAGGCAGGACCCTCCATCTGACCCTTCTGATCCTTAGGACTCTTTTCCAGTATGTGTTGCTGCAAAGTTATAGATAAGACCACAGAAGTGGTCAGTTTTTCTGCTTCCCAGGGCCTATAAAAAGAAAGGATTATCTGATAGCTTTTTGAAGCCTTCAAGATTTAGAAGACATCAGATGCTTTCATTAACTATAAAATCAAAATCAAAAGATGTCATACTTCAATTTCTTATTTGAAGAGATTATGAGTAACAAACGTGTTTCCTTCAGATTTCCTCCTCTGGGCTCAGTAAAGTTCTCCATTACAGCCTTAAAATTATATTAATAAATCAATAAAAATATTTGAGTCTACGAAATGCTCACTATGTGCCCAGTGTGGTTCTGCATGGTTGACATGCATTGCCTTTATTCAATGTTCACATCAACTATATGCAATATTGCTGTTACTGCCATTTACCAATGAGGTATCTGAGCCCTTCAGACATTAAGCAATGTGTGGTCACATAGCTATTGTAAGTGAGCTTGTGGCTGACTCACCTGAAAGAGAGGTGTTGAGTCGACTTTAAATCCATCAGATCCAGGCTGATTCACTAAGAGAATAGCTTCGGGGTCATCCATTGCCAGTTTAGCATTAAACAGGACATTACCAAAACTGGTGGCTTGTGTCTCTGGCTGAGCTTTGTCCTTTAAGCAATAAGAAAAATGAGGATTGTTATAGATAATGTCAACTTTTGCAAACACAGAATGTATACCTACTAGTTTTGTGCAAGTATAAAATTAGCATAAAATGTTACTATTTGGTTTCACTTGACAAACATACTATTGTTTATAAATATGAGACAAAAATGTTTAACTTTGAATGTCTTCCTAGTTCATTGCTTGTGTCAAATACTTACCACAATTTTAAATCTATATAAGAGTGAAGGAGAATCAGCTAAGCAGCCATACTCTGCATTTGTGGGACTATACTTGGGAACATAGCCATCGGCTCCAGTGCACAGAAACACCTTCTCAATGCTGCAGTAGAAGGAATCACCTAGATTCTGGACAGGATCCACCATGACACGCCCATAAATTACATCACCTGAAACCGAGATGTAGAAATATTACTTCTGTGGGCTTCCCTGGTGGCACAAGGGGTTAAGACGCAACCTATGAAGCTATCCACAGCCACTGCATCACGAGTTCGATCCCCGGCCAGGGAGGTGACCCACATGGCGCAGCAGACCATTTCTGACTCTCCCAATGCACCCCTCAGCAGTGTATTTCAGTCAGTCTGCCTGTTCTGTTCCCCACTCTGTCTCTGGTGAATCCTCTCACCCCCCACACCCCTGGCTTGTACCCCAGTTCTTGTATGCATAAATAAATCTTAAAAAAAAAAGAAATACTCCTTCTGTGTGTGATAAGGTGTGTCTGTGTGACACACTGCAATTTTTAACAATAATGACACTGGAGGGTATCTCTGCTTTCACCTCCGGCACAAAATGTTGAAGACCTTTTTGCATTAACCTCTGGATATGGTCCACTCCAGGCCTCACATAAGATCACCTTGCAGACAGACCACAAGTGACTGAAGGTTTATTGAACCTTATATGTTCAGCCAGTAGTGGGAATAGCCTCAAGTCTTGGCATTTAATTTAACATTCATTGCACCTCAATGCATCGATAGTTAAAGTCGAGATTACACAAATAAACAAGTTGGAAAAGTTGGAGATAGAGTATAAGATAGCACTGAAAAATGAAAACATTGATAAAAAGCTGAATTAACATGTTTTTATTTTTTTTTAAGATTTTTTTAATTTATGCATAGAAGAACTGGGATGTGGGCCAGAGGTACAGAGGGTAAGAGGATTCACCAGAGACAGAGTGGGGAGCAGAACAGGCAGATTGACTGAAATACACTGCTGAGGGGAGCAGCGGGTGAGACAGGAGAGGTCTGCTGCGCCACATCTGGTTCAATTCCTTGGCTAGGGATTGAACTCAGGCCATTGTGGTGATAGTGCTGAGACTTGACTCCTAGGCCACTAGGGAGGCCCCTAACAGTTTTTGAATTTGAAAGACAGTTTAAAGAAATTCCCTGGTGTTTAGTCATTATTCACAGTTATGACTGAACTCCCACACATGTGCTAGGTATTTTGTTAGGTGCTGGGAATATACCACTGAACAAGATAGATGGACCTTTGTCCAGGAGACTTTTATAGATTCATGAATATTTTACAGATTTATGTATGTGAGTCTATGCAACTTGAAAAAATATTCAAGAAAAAATTTTCAACTTGTTTCAAAGTCACAAAGATAAGAGAAATGGAGATTAACTTCCTCGGAATAAAAGTCATCCAGGGAAGCACCCCCATCCCTGTGAATGTGATAAAGGCCCAGTTATACTCTTATAACCATACAAGTAATTATCATTTCCCCCCCTCAAACATAAAGGCATAAAGCAAAGGACAGCAGCTGCAGTGACTGGCGGGACTCTAATTTGTAAAGTGATACCTTCTGCAAACACAACATCACTTTCTTGTCCAAATCCCATGGATCCATCAGACAGCCAGAGGCTCTTCTTGGAAAGCAGGTACATCTGTGTGTTCAAGCTAAACTCAGCTGCCACTGGATCACTGACCTAAAACCAAGAGCAAAAACCCTTTCACATGTTGTTCTATTGGTGCCTGAACACATTATTACAGAGACACACATTCACATACACTGACATACAGGACACTAAACACTGCTTCGCAATTTGCATGTCCAACCAGACAACTTAGGGAATTGTAACACTGACTTTGTCTTTCCTAAGAAGGCAAAACTGGTAAGGTTAAATTATCTTTTTAATGGGAGTAAAGCACATTGCTTAAGTTCATTTCCCCATGTTTATCCAGGTATAAAAAGGACTTGTAATTATCACAGTCAGTGGAAGGTCAATAAATAATATAAATTCTTGGACCAAAGGGCCCTCAAGTTTCTTTTAATACCTAATAAAATTAAGTGCTTTGAGATGGTGTAAGCTGCAGGATTTTTATTCTCACTGAAGATCAAGATCAGGACAAAGAAGTACAGAAGTACTCTGGAAAAGACTCTCTGATCTCCAAGGTAGCAAACTCCAGTAGATAAGATCACATGGGAAAAAAAATAATCCTTACATACTCTTAAACTCTGAAATTTATATGCTGAACCAACAACAGATAAAGGACCATTCTTCATACTTCACCCTTGCTTTCTTCCTGTCTGACTTCCTTTTCTCTCATCATTTAAGAACTAAAGTCATTGTGTGAACAAATTTATTTTACTGATAAAAGTAAACCATGACTTTAACAAAGTGGGATTCAACAATTCATGAGAAAACAATTCTATGAGAAGCACCTGTTGGAAACGAATGTCAAGGTCAAAGGTGACGGGCTCTCTGGGGTTGCAAGTGACCGGCAGGCGGTACTCCTGATGCGGTGGGGTGGTGCAAGGCAGCAATTTCACAGTATAGGTCCCTGAGTAGTCACGTACCTTTGAGAAGAAGAGAGGACATTCATGTTTTTCATTTAAAAATCGGAGGTGTCGTTGGAGGCAGCAAAACGGGAAAATTAAGTCTTAGCCCGAGTTACTTACTGCAAAGTCAGACACAAAGCTCCACTGTTGCACTGGCTGGTTGTAGGTTGGCTCACTCCTGATGAGGCGGAGGGAAAACGTCAGGCCCCGGTGATCCGCTGACATGACCACTGAGCTTGTGAAGGAGGCTAGGAAAGTGTCGATGACAGTAAATGGTTAAAAGAGTGTACAATGGTTTAGAGTTTTCAAAGTGCCTTATCAGACATTACTTGCTATTATTCTTGTAATAAGCTTGCAAAGTAGCAGGGTTGGTCCAGTTATCCTCATGATGCAGATAAAGAAATTGGACTGAAAGTGACTATGTGACTCTTCCAAGATCACACAGCTGAGGCTGTGTGCCTTCTGATTCGGATTTCTGTGCTTTTTCCACACTATAATTCTGTCAAAAGATAATTGTGCAGAAATGCTCAAATAGTTCAGGGCTCCTTTCCAGGGAGCAGAGCAGTACAATAAAGGCTGATGTGAATGCACTTATTGTGCACCCAAACTATGAGCTCAACTTTAGTCCATCAGTGTCCACACAGCTGGGCAAACCCAATTTATAAATGGAATCTAATTTTAATTATATTGTTTGCAATCGTATCTAAACAAAGATTCATTTTATTAGAAAGGTAGACATGTGGAAGGGAACTGTTAAGAACAGGAAATCCTCATGTCCCAGAAAGGACATTAAATCAATTAAAATAAAGCAAAATGATCCTTTCTGGTTCTGTATTTCGAAGTAGTTCAGTCTCACAAAAAAACACAATGAACTCTCTTTCTCTGCCTGAATTTTTCAGCTCTATTCCATACTGTGACAGAACTTATGCCCAAAAAAAGGAAGGATGTTGGGGGGTGGGGGCGGGAGGGGAAGGATTGGGGTCAGAATGGGGCGTTTGCAATTGTATGGGGGAATATAAAAATAAAATTTAATATTAAAAAAAAAAAAAAAAAAGGAAGGATGTTGAAGATGGTAAGTGAATTCTTTCCTCCTTCCAATCAGACATGAGTTGGCACAACAGTAAAATATGCAAAAAATTAGTAACATGAAGAATGACAAAAAATTACTTTTAGTGAAATGTCTTTTATATGAAATAAAAATACAGACATGGGACTTTAGTGATTGCCACCTTATATTCAAAGTATGTTTCATCACAGTAAAATTACATAGGTATATTTCTAAAAGAATTAGTTAAAAAGTTTGAAATTAGGTATGATAGTAAAGTACCACTTATGGCTATACTATAAAGGCTTCTAACTATATTTAGATAAGAGCTGTGAACACTCGCACTTGTTGAGTGAATCACTTAAAATACAATTTTTGTGTACAACGGAATTGAGTCTAGAGAAGAAGATTATTATTGCTATGCTCTTTAGAGAAAACTCCACTTAATATGAACTCAATGGGATTTTCTTTTAAATCATTTTAATCAGGGCCTCCCCGGAGGCGCAGTGGTTGAGCGCTGGGTTGCGAAGCTGCCCCGCAGCCTCTGCAGGACCGGTTCGATCCCCGGTTGCTCCCCGGCCACTGGAGGAGGGTCCCGCATGGCGCGCAGACCTCTCCTGCCGCCCGCTGCTCCCCTCAACAGTGTACCTCGGTCCTTCTGCTTGCTATGCTCCCTGCTCTGGCTCTGGTGAATTCTCTCACCCTCCCGCGCTTCTGACTGTACCCAGTGCTTGCAAAAATAAATAAATCTTTTAAAAAAAATCATTTTAATCAATATGTATTTTCCATAAAAGTCTATACATAATCTATTTTTAGATTATGAGATGTAGTTGGACAGTGATCAAGCTCTGATCATGTAGGTAATTGCAGATACATAATTCATTTGAAATTAAAACTTCAAAGCTCATAAGGAGGCATGCTGAAACATGTGAAGATGGAAAAGCTATATACTTGCTGTATGGAGGCATGTTGGGGCTTACCCGGATGTGACAGCACAAATAAGCCATGAAATTGAGCTTCTGTCTTGAAGTTCACGACCAAACGCCCCTCTTCACCGATCCGCATGCTGGTTGGATAGAGAGAACCTGCAGTGGGATAAGGCACAAAAGTGGAAAGATTGGTGACTGGGGCTTCCTAATGTATAGGATTTCTTCTAAGAATGAATTCATGTTCATCTCCTCTTTAAGCATTCAAGTCAAAGGGTACTATAAGAAAATTCCTGAGCAATAAGAGAGGCAGAAGTATTTTTGTTTTGTTTTCTAAGGAAAGCAGTATCAGAAGGGAGGCAAAATTGAATTAGATCTGAGTGAGGCCAATATGAAATCCACAGATTGATTACAGCAGGACAAACTTCAGTCTATGACAATGAAGCTGCACAATGTAGAGAGACACAATGAACTTTTCACATTTTGAATATTTGGACAGGTACATGGAGTTGGGTTTGGGTTCTTTAGAATAATTCCAAATTTTATATGCTCAATGAAAACTTTCAAGCTTTCCCAAGACATTTATTTAGCAGTTTTCACCACAGTTGGGTCCAGCTATAAGAAAACATGAGATCTTTTGTAGAAACTGAGAACCACAGAGTGGATCTACATTAAGATTCATTCAAATATACCTTTTCTAAGGCAAGATGTGCAATTAAAACATTTGAAATAACCTGGAATGATGATTTAGGGTGATCATATTACCTTTTATATAACTTTAAAGTAATTTTAATCTGTGCACGACAGCAGATTTTTAGATACACTATCAACAATATTTTCCCTCTGGCTCATAAAAGGTAGTACAGGCATGATCCCTGGACATGCACGGAACCAGAGCAGCAGGGTATGCTTGAAAAGTAATAGCACTAATTGCACTAATGGCTTAATTAGCTCTATGGTTGTGGACCTTTCCCTATGATCCTGACATGGAGGTTGAAACTACATTTTGCAGATGCTTAGTGGCATGCACCATGACTGTTCCAAGACATTCAGCTAAAGTATTGAGGAATAACAGAATTTAAAAACTAGATCATCAGCTTGTCTTTCAGAAGGAAGTGAGTGTCATGAAGGTTAAGCAATACATTTGAGAGCATAGAGCTAATGAACTGTAGAGCCAGAACTAGAATCCAGGACTTTTCAAACAAAATGTACAGCTTTCCCCTTTGTAGTCGTTCCTCATCTTCATTCGGGAACATCCTCTATCCATTTTCTGGAATCCAGGAAAATACATAGATTGTGTTGTAGAATGTAAAAGTTAAATATTCATGAAAAGTAGATGTTTAATAGTTACATAATGTATTTAATTTAAGGCATTAATTTTTGTAAGACAAAATAAAATGATCTTAACATAAAATATATGGAAAGTCATTTTTATTATTTTTAGATACAATAAAAAATCCTCATAAGCAATTCAAATAGGTAACTAATGAGAGTTTTCCAAGTGTATGAACCCACCTTGAAGTTCTGCTTCTGGTGGGCTGCCAATTCCATCATTCCACAAGATGGCAGTGTCATACACAAAAGTGAGACGAAGCTCTGATTTCAAGTCAAAATGCTGCCAGCCTCCTACCCCGACAGGAGAATGGAACACATAGGAGACGTAGAGAGGGACTCGAAGGGTCACATAGGACTGCACTAGGTTTAGGACCTAAAACAATGCAATTACATCTATCAACATAACTCAGTATTGTTAACTAAATGAGCCTAATTTTGTACAAGCCATTTTCTCCTTTCATTTAACTGAAGATGTTGAGTTGTCTCCTCATTTAATTTGGGAACAATTAAGTACTATCTTCCTTTGCAAATAAACTGCATTTATACTTACACCGACATTTTTGTTTTATAACAGCTTTACTAAGATACAGTTCTCTGCCATATTATTCACTTAGTTAAAGTGGACATATTAGTGGTGTTTAGTATATTCAGGGAGTTGTCATATCTCTCAGTGTTAGGGCATTTTCAGTACCTCCTTTGTTATTCTCTATATGTGTCTATTCTGACTATTTCACATACATGGAATCATACAATATGTGATCTCTTGTGATGGACTTTTCACTTGGCATAATATTTTCAAGGTGGCATTTTCATATTTTGGCATTTTCTAATACTTATATTACTGAAGAGTGTCCAAGTACAGTCATGCACCACATTTTTGTAGCCATTTATCAGTTAAACAATACGAGTTGCTTTCAAGTTTTGGGTTCTGATAAATAATACTGCTATAAGATACTTCTAAATTATTCTATGGAGTAAGATGAAGTTAAGCAGGAAGATCTGGAAGCAAATGTAATGATGAAGATGTCTCAAAAATAATTAGTTGAAGGGCCTCCCTGGTGATGCAAGGGGTTAAGACACAACCTATGAAGCTATCTGCAGCCACTGCAGCATGAGTTTGATCCCCGGCCAGGGAGCTACCCACATGGCACAGTGGACCTCTCCTAACTCACCCACTGCTCCCTTCAGCAGTGTATTTCAGTCAATCTGCCTGTTCTGGTCCCCACTCTGTCTCTGGTGAATCCTTTCACCTCCCACACCTCTGGCCTGTACCCCAGTTCTTGTATGCATAAATAAATAAATCTTTAAAAAAAATTAGTTGGTGTCTTGCTTTAAAATAATTCTTTTGAAACCAAACAAAGCATCAGACAAAGACAAACCTTGAAAGTTGACCATAAGTCTGAGTCATTCAGGAAGGGAGAGGGAGAGGGAAGAGGAGAGGACAAATAATGGGCTATGGTGGAGGACTATGAGTGCCTTGGTGGTGGGAGAGCTAGGGTGACCATATCTGAGGGGAGAAATCCTATACAGTCAACATTTAATAGGGATGTAAGAAAATAGTATACTTCATCAAAATATTAACTGAAAAAAACCCCATGTTTTTCAGGTAGATTAGGGGCCATGAAGATGTTTATTGAGCAATTACAACATCTCAGACATTGTATTAGGTACACAATAAAAGTTATTCAATATTTTTCTCCTCCATAATCTCATTTATGTGTATGTGTAGATGCATAGAAGGCTGGATGAATGCATGATGGATAGAGGGAGAGAGAAGGAAAATTAACACTGAAAGAAATAAAGCAAATTCTTTAAGCTTTCTGAGCAAACCTGATAGTATCAGAGCCCAGTCTTTGGCCCATACTTTTTCTGCTCTCTCATACTCCATCATCGCATTCCAAACAAAGCTGATGGTGGTTCTAAAATCACCTAACAAAAGTTGACAGCAGGCAAGGGAGGAAGGGAGGGGCACCACACCTCGCATAGGAATCTGCACATGTACACCTAGCACAGGCTGCACTCCAGGCTATATGTCTGTTTTCTCTCTCTTTTTTTTTAACGATTTATTTATTTATGCATTCGAGAGGTGCATGAGGGTGAGAGGATTCACCAGAGACAGAGTGGGGAACAGAACAGGCAGACCAACTGAAATACACTGCTGAGGGGAGCACCGGGTGAGAAGGAGAGGTCTGCTGCGCCATGTGATGGAACTTGTGCTGCAGTAGCTGTTGATAGCCTCATAGTGCTGAGACTTAACCCCTTGTGCCACCAGGGAGGCCCCTGATCTGTTCTTTTTAAACTAAAAATGTTGCTTTGAACTGGGACTCCTGTCCTGTGATGACCAAATGAGTGCTGGATATTGATGCCATTAGAAATTAACCAATCTCAGCAGGCCAGGATGTAATAAGGTCAGGATGATTGGGAGAACAAACCCTGGGAACTGAATGTAACAAATACCATGAATATCAATTGTTCTGATAAACTGATTCACTTAAGACTGTCTTTGTTTAACTCAATACAAGAAAGCCAGCTTGAGATGAGATGTCAATGGTTTCTTCAGGGTGATATGCCCACTGCTCTCAGATCACTGACAAGCTATCTAAATAAAAGCACTTCTTATAGATTCAATTCCTGTTTCTGCTCATTGACATCTGTAGTGACAGGCATAAGGACTCAGCATTTCCAGTAACAAACCTATCATATCTAATTCTTTAATTTTGCAGAATATTAAGGGAAATACAACTATCTTCTCCTCCCAGAGAGGTCTGCTGCACCATGTGGGTATCTCTCTGCCCCGGAATCGAACTTGTGCTGCAATGGTTGTGGACAGCTTCATGGTGCTGTGCTTAACCCCTTGTACCACCAGGGAGGCCCCAAAACAACGTATTTCATGAAAATTATATATTTTAGATTCTTTATATTATTTCTTAAAAAATTATTTAGAGTGACTTGCATGTAAGAAAGAGCAAATCAGTATACTAAGTGTAAAATAAAGGAATAGGAAGAGATGGCTTCTAAAGTATATTCCAGCCTTAAAGCTCCATGTTTCTGATTCAAATGCATTATAAAGAAAAATTATTCCTTGAACTGTGCAACAAAGAAAAACTTTCACTTTTCCAAAAGCAAACTCTTTTCTCAGAAATACACTATAATTTCATGTTCTAAGTACTGGAAGTAAGGTTGCATTTCTTATTCAAGCCCCTCAATCGATGTTAGCAGTGGCAATTTACTTCATTAGGTAAGAGTTAAGATTCTGATCTTGTAGTGTAAACTCATCAGCCAGGCTGATGAGATATAGAATGAATGAAGGACTTTTATTTTTAAAAGAAGTAATTTTTCAAGAAAGAAATAAAAAAAAAATCCATAGTTAAAAAGACTCCGTTTCACTTAGTGAATAAATGTACAATGAATAAGATGGCAAAAGCACAATTCATCTTATATTAGTTAAAGCAATCTATAGTCAAACTGCATAAAACTTAATAAAATTTAATTGCTGTTAACCAGTAACTATCCTGGATATTCCAGAAGATTCCTTCAGTTTTGTAATTCTTTCTTGTAAATGGAATAATCTGACTATGGAGGTTAGGAAACAGAGAATCGTTTCAGGGTGTGTTAGAAATAGCTTTTCAATCACAAAGAAAAATGCAAGAACTTGGCACTATTTCATGGCAGTAGCTTTAGCTATTAAGAACTTTAGGGGGGGGGATCACTTCATCATCATGTTCCTGGAAGAAGCAATTATCAGGTGGTAAATTTTATTTGCACAGTTATTATCTTGATCGAAGGTGCCAAGTCTATAAAAGGACTAGAAGAGAGAAAGTGACATCTATTAGATGCATGGCCAGGATTGTGTACTTGGCAGAGGATACACAGACCTAGGGCAGCACTGGCCTGCTTCCGGTACTGTGTGCAATGTGATGGGCAATTAAACATGAAGCTGCTTGGAGCACATTTGGTCATAATGATAGTTATCATTATTTTTGTCTGATTTCCCTGCCTGCATGCAGAAATGTGAAAATTCATAAAATTCTTATCAAATTTGCAAGTACAATAGAGTGTGTTCATGAAGCATTTGGTTTGTTTTCCTTGTAATGCTATCTCATGAAATGTGTTTTCATTTACATTTGATCTACCTGTACTCAAAAAGCTGCAGACCATTGGGCTTAAGGCACAGATTTGCATAATTTTATCAGTCTTGGGTGTAGATATAATCTGGCACACAATTTTTGATGGCTGGTAGGCAGCATTCTTGCACCAAGAGGGAACAATTCATTTGCTTTTCTTACGATCATACCTATGACCATATTTGTTCCTACAAGTAAGCCATTAAATGACATTCAATTCACTCAATTAATTCCTCACATAAGTATCACAAGTGATTAAGAGCATAGGCTTGTACACAACATGAGCTTGAGTAAGGTAGTTGAATTGTCTTTGCTTCAGCTTTCTTATCTCTCATAAGTGGACAAAATTAGTATTTGTCCCAGTGTGACAGAATTCGTGAAACCATGTCAAGTACTTAGAAGAATGTCAGACCTAATAAACATTAAATAATGTTAGTTAATATCAATATTGTTACTGTTACTACTATTACTAGATATTTTCTTTTATTTCTAGAACCCAAAACTATTGGGATAAAATTAGGAGAATAATCAGAGGAACTGTGAATTTATTCCCCTGAATCATAAATAGTGTTATAAACCAATGTCACCTCAAAAAAAAAAAAGTAGGAAAATATCTCAAAGAGTCATATGTCTTCTATTATAATTCATACTTTATTTTCTCTTAGCTATATTTGAATAATGTGGTATGTGGCCAGGGCCCAAAGAGTGTAAGAGGACATCAGTAAGAAGGAAAAAGGAGAAGCTTAAGCTTAAGCTGAAGGGTGAAAGTAGGGAAAGCAAGGTAGTCATCCTGAGCTTTACTCTAGGAGAGTGAACAATGTATTTTATTAAATTGTATTACCATTTGGTTTATTCTGAGGCTTTTAGGATTTTATATCAAGATCCTGAAATTTCAGTGATTCACACTGAATCTGGTCATCTGTGATGCTCATCACCAGGACCATACTATTAAATTTTCATAACTGCAAAAGTAGAAAACTCCTTCCAAAAGAAACTAGAATAAGTATCCCATCTCATTTAAGATAGTAACACAAACCATCTCATTTAATATAGTAACACAAACCAGTTAAGAACTGGACTCTTAGGTTATGCACAGACCCCTCTCTCCCTCACCCCTAGTGTTGTATAACATAAGCCTTTCAAGCAGGAGAAACTTAACTGAAACCTCCAGTTGCCAGCTTTCACCTCATGGAGTAGAACTATTGGCAGTGCAATTGTAGAGCAGTGCTTTTTTTTTTTTTCCCTAGCTAGCAGTACAGTAATAGGAAGAAAAAAAAAAAAAAAACACTGAGCTCAAATAATTAAATAAAGGAATGGTGATTAAAAATAACACCAATGAAGCTTAACTGAGTGTGTTACAGTAAGATTTCACTGAAGAAATGAACACATTAGAGTGCAAGGTTTGCATTAAAAATTCCCGGGATCCACTGGGGAAGTGGATAGATGTAATAGGATACGGCTCAAACAGGGTAAGTGTGAAGTTTTCACTTGAAAAGGCACAAAGATGGAAAGGTGCTGCCATTTTGCTAAGAAGACAGAAAACATCCTTGAGGGGGAAAACTGACTCTAAACCCCATGAGATCTACAAAAAAGGCCCATGGTTCAGAGTGACTTAAACAAGGAAAAACCAGAACTACAATGCAATCCATTTACTACATCCATTTGGGTTGCCAATAGATCCTGGGACTAAAGCAAGATCCTGAGAAGAACAAAAAGGAAATATGATTGAAAATAAGGTCTGTGAGGAAGAGGGGACCAGAGATACTTGACTTATGAAGGCAACGAATGAGGTAGATTTAAAAGGACTCTTCATTTTTATTCTGGGCATAGGATTGCTTTTTCTTCCACACATCTTTCAGGTGGTAAGGGCAGGTTGAGGGATCTTATAAGTAATTTGTTCAAGGACACATAGAATATATCAGAACCAAATTAAATCAGCATGTGCTTGATTCCAAACCCCCAGGTTTTTCCTACCATTCCACAATGTATTTCTCTTGGTGTTTTGTTTGGGATTTTTACTAAACTGTGCAAGTTTCTGAATATCTTGCTGCTTTTAGAGGAGATGGTGGTTAAGATTAGGCCTCACTACCTTGAAATCAATAGTTCCCAGACATAGCAGAGGGCTGCCCAATCCACATCAATACCAGCTGAACTGGTCATGTTTCATTGCTTTGCTGTGAGAGTAAACTGAGAGTGAATTACCACCTACCTTTCTCTTGCTACTACTTGCTTTATATCTTATTTTATTTTAAAGCACAGAAAAAAATCATCTCAACTTGACTAAATCTTGAATGACATGATATTTTCTGGGTATCATTCAATGTTTTACTGTATAAACTTATTTATATAAGCTTCGTCCAGGACAGAATACAGCTTTTAGTTCAAATATTCATTACAATTCTAAACTACACCTTGCATGTTTTAGATTATTATAACTACTAATGGAGACCCCGCTTCTTTGTCATTTGAACAACTTTGTTGATGATGATGGTGGAGTGAAGTGTGTGTGTGTTTGTGCGTGTGTTCATATGTAGACTCTATCGGTGTTGTATGAAAAGAAGTCAGAAATTGCAAAGTAGAAAAAATAAGATTTTAATGGAAATACTTCTGTCTATGTTAGTGATAAAGAAATGAAACAGAAAGGGAAGAAAATGTAAAAGAACTAGAAAGAAAAAGAAAATGGGGATAGAAGGAGGAAAAAGATAAAAATAAGGTGATGGCGAGGAAGAAAGATAGTGAGGAGCAAGAAAAGCTAGACTGACCTAGAGCACTGTCTCTCCTTTCTCTCTCTCTTTTTTTTTAAGATTTATTTATTTATACAAGAACTGGGGTACAGGCCAGAAGTGCGAGAGGGTGAGAGAATTCACCAGAGACAGAGTGGGAAGCAGAAGAGGCAGATGACTGAAAACACTACTGAGGGGAGCAGCGGGCAAGGCAGGAGTGGTCTGCCACGCTATGTGGGTATCTCCCCGGCTGGCAAATGAAATGCACTGCAGAGGCTATGGATAGCTTCACAGTGCTACACTCAACCCACTGCACCACCAAAGAGGCCCTGTCTCTCCTCTCTTAAGACAGTACATGATGTATCACAGGCATCTATACGAGGACACAGAAATGATAATGTAGATTTCAAAGACAAATTAGTATTTGGATTTTTATATTGAAGTAGATTTGAAGCATTGCTAAAAAAAAAAGTACATACAATTGACACATTGTTGCAGAAAGAGACATGGATTTTCACACTACCCTTGCTAATTATCTCTTTCCTCTTCTGCCTAATGACTGTATCACCCAGTAGAAGACTGGAAATGGGATTTAATCCAAACCTATGTAACTATATAAAACCAATGAGTTTATCCAGTGACCAAAGCTCTGATGTTCAAAAGTATACCTGACCATCGGTCCCAATGGTGCCTCCACAGTCAGTAAGCAGTTCTGACATGTCATAGTAGCTCACAAACTCCCATAAACAGGCCTCAAGATTCAGGTTTCGGTAGAAGCGCAAGGTACCGGAGCCTCTGATAGATGAGCTGTACTGATAAGGATATGTTTCTCCAATGATCTCTGGGTTTTTTGTAGCATCAGTCAAGAAACCATGGTGGGTCTTCACTTCAGTGTAATCCAGAAGGTTGGAGCACTTGTGGTTTCCAACTCTTGTGCCATCAGGACTGAGGGTAAGCTCAAAGTTGGAAAGTTCTTTAGTGGAGATGACAGGGAGCATGCCTGCAAGAATTTTGGAGTCATTAGTGTCAATCTCACCAAGAGCAAAGGGCTGAGAGTGCTGGGTAAATTATCTCTTGCCAAGACAATAAAATACTATAAAATACTGTTGCTATAAAATACTGTTTGGTAGTGATAATCAAAGTGGTGTTCTCAGACTCCTGGGGATCCCCAGGAATTTTTCAGGGAATCTGTGACATTAAAGTCATTTGCATCATGACACAAGATAGTACTTGACTTTTCCACACCAATTTTCTTGGCTATAACACATCATATATTACAATAGATTGGATACGGAACCAGATATAAGAATATAGCTTTTTTTTATTAAACCAGAGATAAAAAATATTTTCAAAAGAATAGAACAATGCTACTCACATTAAATTTTTTGATTATAAATTAAAGTTATTCTTAAAACTATGTTTTTCATTTTTTTTAAACATTTTATTTATTTATGCATACAAGAACTGGGGTACAGGCCAGAGATAAGGGGGTGAAAGGATTCACCAGAGAGAGTGGGGAACAGAACCGGCAGATTGACCAAAGTACATTGCTGAGGGGAGCAGTGGTTTAGTCCGGAGAGGTCTGCTGCGCCATGTGGATTGCTCCCTGGCTGGCCAGGGATCGAACTTATGCCGCAGAGGCTGCGGACAGCTTAACAGTATGGCACTTAACACCTTGCACCACTAGGGAGGCCCTATTTTTCATGTTAATGTGTAACAAATATTTTCTTGTTATTTTAAAATAAGTGAAAACCTTATATTTAACAGTTCCTCAGTTTTCAAGTTCAGTTGACATAAATAAATATATCCCATAAAAACAAAAGTGAAAAACCCTAAATAATTTGAAGGGTGTCCTAAGACCAAAAAGTTTGAAAACTACTACTATCCAATTTGGGCTAAGGGTTGGCAAACCTCTTCTGTAAAGGGCCCAATTGCAAATATTTTAGGATTTGTGGGCCATAAGATTCCACTGCTTCAACTGCTCAATGCTGCCACTGTGGAGAGTAGGTTGCCATCAATGAAGGATAAAGGAATTAACATAAGTGTGTGCCACAGACTTCATCATGGACAGTGGCTAAGAACATCATAATTGGGACCTCCCTGGTTATCAAACTATCTCAGTGCTATCAAACTATCATCAGGCATTGCGGCATGAGTTCTATCCCCGGCCAGGGAGCTAACCCATATGGCACAGCAGACCTCTCCTGTCTCACCCGCTGCTCCCACAGCAGTGTATTTCAGTAGATCTGCCTGTTCTGCCCCCCCCACTCTGTCTCTGGTGAATCCTCTCACCCCCCGCACCTCTGGCCTATATACCAGTTCTTGTATGCATAAATAAATAAAAAGTAAATCTTAAAAAAAAGCACATTATTAAAAAAAAAAACAATATCATAATTGTCATATGTCATGAGATAGCCTTCTTTCAGAATTTTCCAAACATTAAACAAATGTAGGCCACAGACAAATGCTTAGCCTGTAGACCACAGACAAATAGGCAAAGATGGGATTTACTCCATGAGCCATAGTTTGTTGAACACTGGCATAAGCAATGCAGCAAAAAGGCTATGAATGAGGCCTTCCCTAGAACCTTACCATTTCTCCCTTTGAGGTTTTCCCAGAGCAAAACTCTGATCCCACAAAAGAACTGATCCACTTCTACCATGGCAGAGCTCCAACTAGTGAATGAAATGCAAAGCCAAGCCTTAGGAGCACATGGGGGATCAGTTTTTCTACAGGAGAAACTGTTAGAGGTCTGTTTTTCTGATGGATTCCTGCTAAGCCCTTTGTAACTCCAAGTCTCATTTCCCACATGACTCAAAAGTTAGGATGGCCAAAGTTAGGATCAGCATTATGCTGGAAGAGTTGCAGATTGTTGCCCATCTACCTCCCACCAAGTTTAGGCTCGAAATAAGCAAAGCAGAATTATGCTCTTTTTCTAAGGGCAGAGGATTCTACCTTCTAGTTCCCCATGTTTCTTCTTCCTTAGCTACTTAAAATATTACTAACATGTCAAGTAATAAATTAATATTAATGATTTACTTCAAGTACACAGTGACTGGAGGGAATAAACGTGAAAATTCTTGTATACATGGAGAAATGTTTATATAATGTGGATAAGGTTATTGACTCACCAATTCTGGCCACACTTTCTTAACCAGAGAAAATGAACACAAAACTTTGAGTTATATTTTTAATTTTATTTCAATGCCAAAGAAATATCTAAGTCATTACAGTTAATATGGAAAATATTTATAAAATTCCAGTTATGAAATAGCAAATAAATGTTGATGATAAGCATTGAGAGACCAGAATATTTTACCGCCAGTTTAAATTCAAGAGTTTTGAAGATACATCTTTGCTAGTACATTAACCAAAGGTTTGTTTCATTGTGTTTGGACAAGCACTAAGTTTATCGAAATTTAAATAGTGCTTACATTGTATGACTTTTATTTTTTTATTTTTTTTTTTTTATTTATTTATTTTTTTTAATAGAGGCATGTTTTTTTTTTTTTTTATTTATTTGTTCGTTTGTTTTGTTTATACATGCATTGGGTACAGTCAGAAGCGCGGGAGGGTGAGAGAATTCACCAGAGCCAGAGCGGGGAGCAGAGCAGGCAGAAGGACCGAAGTACACTGCTGAGGGGAGCAGCGGGCGGCAGGAGAGGTCTGCGCGCCATGTGGGACCCTCCTCTGGTGGCCGGGGAGCAGCCGGGGATCGAACCGCTGCCGCAGAGGCCGTGGGCAGCTTCGCAACCCAGCGCTCAACCACTGCGCCACCGGGGAGGCCCACATTGTATGACTTTTAAAAAGAAAGAAAGCAGAAACACTTGAAAGGAGCAGAAGGACTTGAAGCTCTAATTGCAAATTGAGCACTTACTGTGCGCCTCACTATTCAGAGTATTCACTAAAATGAATCAGATAAGGAGAAGCCCAAACCACTTCCATGGATTTGTTTACCCTGGTCACCTACCATCAATGTGAGGCATCGTGACAGTGAGCTTGATAAAGTTTGTGTGTTCTGGGTCCTCGGGGCCAGTGTAGCGCAACTTTGCTGAGAAAGGCTCAGCTCCCACTATCCCCGGCACCCGAGGCTGACAGAGACCTGGAAGAAAATAAACATATTTATGCTACAAGAAGATAACAGATCACATTAAAGAATATTTTTGAAAGAGACACTATTATTTTTCCTTGTACTTTAAACTTCTCTGTGGACTAAAGGCATTGCCGGGAGATGACAACATAAGGAAGTAAAGACCACATTTTAAGAAGTAATCACAGCAGACTGTCTTGTGGCTACTTCTTAATGGTTAAGTATTTTCCCAAAGGTCACAAAACACTAATTCTGAAAGGAAACTTGCATTTCTTTGTTTATTGCAGCACTATTTTAAAGATTTATTTATTTATTTATACAAGCACTGGGTACAGTCAGAAGCGCGGGAGGGTGAGAGAATTCACTAGAGTCAGAGCAGGGAGCAGAACAGGCAGACAGATGGAAGACACTGCTGAAGGGAGCAGTGGGCACGGCAGGAGAGGTCTGCACGCCATGTGGGACCCTTGCTGGTGGCCGGGGATCGAACCCATGCTGCAGAGGCTGCGGGCAGCTTCGCAGCCCAGCGCTCAACCGCTACGCCACGGGGGAGGCCCTGCAGCACTATTTTAAATAGCTAAGATACGGAATCAATCTAAGTGTCCAAAAACAGATGATTGGATCAAGAAGATATGATAAACACACCCAATGGAATACTAGTTAGCAATCAAAAAGATAAACTCATGCCATTTGCAGTAACATGGATGGAGCTAGAAGGGATTATGCTCAGTGAAATAAGTCAGAAGGAAAAACAATAATATTCCTCCTCACATATAGGAAGAATATAGGGTAACCAAACAAGGGATCTATCCTACCTACCTACCTACCTACCTACCTATCTCTTTGAATCAAAACTGTTTATATGAAAATCTTTCTTCAATGTTTTTCAGAGAATTGTGATGTTTCCATTTTAATATCATGGAAGCAACCAAGAAGCTGGATTATAATTTCAAGAAAATTCCTATTTGTACAAACAAGAGAAAATGGACATGTATTTATTACAACAGCAATAAAATCAAAGGCACAAGGCATGTCCCAGTACCTGATTTGATTGCTTTACTAATAGGGGGAATCATTTTAAGGGATTGTTTACTTTCTTGGGGAGGATGATACCAACATAGTTGTGCTTAAGAGAAACTAAAATCATATTTTAATCCTAATGCTTTTTTATTATTTATAAATATTTATCGTGAACATATAATTGTCAGAAGTGGTAAATTTCTTTATGGGACAAATATACTTCTGAACCATTGTATGAAACTGTAAGTTTTAGAAACAAAATCTTCTAGACTATTTTTAAAAAATCTAATTGAAAAGTTCTTCTACAGAATGATTTGTTTATAAAGTGGATTTTCTCTGTTTTCAGTCTTGTTTCCCACTACATGCTCTCCTCTACTCCAGTGTTTCTGAGCTCTGGCCCTGAACACAACTTTCTTTGTAATACAAAGTATGGGCACATGTGCACACTTCTTCTGGACTGACCTTGTTCTCTATCCCTGGTAAAATCCTGCTCCTCCAACGACCAAGTTGGATTGCCCTTGGCATAGCATTGAGCCACCCTTCCATCTCATTCTGCTTCATCTCTGAATCTCAGTCTTCTCTCTCTAAATATGCTTTTCATTTTTCTGTTTATAGTTCCCAGAATGTTCCATGAATTATTGCTCGTGTTTTTTTCCTCTGCTGTTTTCATGGTTCAGCTTCAGCACCTAAACATTCCTGATCCACTCAGTGTCCAACTAATGACTCCTACTTTTGCATTTCTAAATGTGTGTGCAGATAAAATATGTGTCTTCAGTTTGAGCTGAACTCCTTTAAGACAGAAATCTTATTTTTCTTTCTGTCAGTATAGGACACTTAAATGCCAGCCAAATTCTTGTAGATAACAGATCATCAAAAACATGAAATGAGTAAATATTTGTTTTCTAATGAAAATTTTTATACAAACAGATTTTCATTTTTATATACTTAGAGTGTACTGTGGAATATGTGGGACATTTGGATGAACTGATAAACAGATACAAGACATTTATGATATTCCATGGTTTTCCAGTTATCTTCACATGCAAATGGCAATGCATTACCTTCTTCTCTGCCGATGGTTACAATAGGGCTCATCAGCTCCAGGCCTTCATCGCCGTTGGCATTCACAGCACGAGCTGCGCACTGTACTCGGGAGCCAGGCTGAAAGTATATGGAGTCCAAAGTGATCATCTTGGATGATGTGAAAAAGGTGTCAAAGTCCACTTCTCTCATGGGGCTAGTCACGCCATCAGGGCCAGAGGGAGCGCTGGTCAGCCATCGGTACCGCGTCAAAGTGTCATTGATGTTCTCGCTCGCACAAATAGAGCCTGTTTTGTCATAGTCAGAATACCTAGGGTTGCAAGCCTATGAAAAAGAAATAATACCTATAAATATTTAGGACCACAAGTGTATGGAACGCAAAAAACAATAACTATCAAAACTACAGTATAGAACAGTATGGAAATCATTCCTCTCAAGGTCTATCGTAATGTTTTCATTCCCACTGCTTTTAACTCTTTCTATGTTATTCATGTAACTTTCAAATTTCTAGTCATGATAATTTTTATGAACTTAAATTTTGCATTCGATACAACTTACTGGATGTTTCTACCTTCAGCTTGCTATGAATTACAATGTTACTCATTTCATCAACTCCTGAATTCTCAGAGTTGGCAAAATCATCCTTGTTCTTTTTCCCTCTTCTTCACATTCTCACCCCTCACCACATCACCTCACTCCATGCTCTCCTTTTCCCCCACATCCAGTTGGTCAGTGAGCCTGGTTGATCTTCTTTTCAATGTTTTTTAAATTGCTCTCTTCCTTCCCATTACCAGCACCACTTCAAGTCTACACCAGGGCCTTTCTAGCCTGGTGCTGCCATGGTAACATCCACTATAACCCCTCAGCTCAGGCCATTCTGTGCAGGAACACCCTGCTACCCCACAAACTAAGTTCATCCTCCTCACTATAACATTAAAAGACCTGGCACCAAATGATTATGTCTGCTTTGTTAATTAAATAAGCATTTATTGTCTACCTATTATATTGTCTACTATTATATCAGGACCGTTGAGACATAAAAATCAGTACATTCCAGATTTTGCTCACCAGGAGCTTATCATTTAGAGTCAAGAAAAAGCAAGTAAAACAGTAATGATAATATACCATTTTTTTTCTTGTTATTCCTCTAGATGTAACTTGCATGGCAACCACTTCCTCTAGGGATGATCTTCCCTTATCTGACTCTTACCTTAAAGTCTGGATCCCCTGATGATCCCTCACACTTGACTCCCACATATGGAGTTGGGGGGGGAGCTGCAGCTACACTTCTAGTTTGTATCATTCTCATGATGATCACATTATGCCGGATAGGAGAGTAACAGACCCCTATGTAATTTTCTCTCCCTTCCCTTAAATTCTTTCAGTGTAGAGTTCAGAGCTTATTTATCTTTCTATCAGTGACAGGCTGAGATAACATGAGATAACACGCTGTGTACACATCAGTTAATAAACCTCTGTTGGAAGAAGGAAGGAAAATGGGAGCTTTATTTGATTAATGCTGTATTTTCCTTTCCAAAGTTCAAAGCTTAGACTTTGCAGTATTTTCTCACTTTATCCTCTTGTGACAAAGCCAATACTATATTGGTTAATGTTTATAATTCTTTTAAGTAATTATTTTATGATTTTCTAAATCTTGTAATTTCCAACTCACTGTGATACAGACGACAGGATAGCCAGACACGGGTCCAGCACTCTCTTTAGCTCTAGAAGTGTCATCGTATATCAGTAAGGACACAATTTGAGGAACAGACGGAAAAGTGACGTCTGCTATGCTGTTCATTTCTTCTATATACACAATGGCTTTGATTACCTAAAAAGAAAAGATTATTACCACAAACATTGAAATACTAGATTCTCTGGGCTTCTATTGTACAGAACAATACTCCCGATGCTTGGCAAGTCTCCGGCTCATTATGGTGAAGATGGTCACAGTCAAGACTCCTGGAGAGCCTCAGGGTTTGTGGGGTTGGCTCCGCGTGACCCTGGCACCTTGGTCACTGCCTTAGCCATGGCATAGAGCAGCCTGGTAGGCAAGTGGCCCATGAGGTATTGGAGCTCTAATTTTTTTCTTCAAATTGTGACAATTATAGCTAACTTTGTCTTGGGGTTGTGAGATGGATGATCTATGAAAAAGTCAATTAGTTGGGCCTCCCCTGGTGGTGCAGCGGTTGAGCACTAGGCTGTGAAGCTACCCACAGCTTCTGCAGTGCCGGTTCAATCCCTGGCCACGGGCGAGGGTCCCTCATGGTGCAACAGACCTCTCCTGTCTCACCTGCTGCTCCCCTCAGCAGTGTATGTTGTCAGTCTCCCTGTTCTGTTCCCCACTCTGGCTCTGGTGAATTCTCTCACCCTCCGCGCTTCTGACTGTACCCAGTGCTTGTATAAATAAATAAATACATCTTTAAAAAAAAAGTCAATTAGTTGATAGTGGGAAAAGTTGAAAGACTCCCTGAGAGAAGGCAGATCCTAGGGCCATGCTGGAGTGGACGCTGGGAAAGGAAGTTTACATGAGCAGAAAGTTATATGAAGTCTGAAGCACAGGTAGAGAGAGAGGCTGAGTCATGACAGAAAAGGAATCTGTGCACATCTGCTCTGGTAAGGTAACAAGACCCCCTTGTTGATGAATTTGCCTTAGCTCCTGAATAACCTCGGGCATCCAGCTATGTATCACAGATCCCAAGCCTGTATTTACATGCATATTCATGAAAGAAGCTCTCATCACTTCAAATGATTGGACTGAATCTCTGTTCCTTTTACCCAAAAAAAGTTTAATTCAACACTCTCTAAAAGCACTAATAAAAGACACATCTCATCAAGATTTATAAAAATATATTTGAAAAGGAATTTTTGCCCATACTTCTTGAATTTTACAGATGACTCTTTAAAAAGCAAGGCACTATAGCAGAAAATGTTATGAAGTAGTAAAGATTATAAAATGATAAAACATATTTAAGGAAAAAAATCTCAATTTGATTTCAAAAAAATAGGGAAACAAGTTATAAAATAAATAGAACAAATCTAAGCTTAGATATTAACAATTTATCTGTTCCTAAAATCATTCAGTTTAAAATTATTTTGGGTTTAAAGGTCAAGATTCTGTGAAAATTGTGCTTATCTTGAAGAACATCTGGTTTATAATACAATAAATTTAAAAAGTACAGTAAACAAAGATTAGGCCTACAATGTTTTGGTCACTGAGGCTCAGAAGATCAATTTGACAATACCAGGATGAGCAGGTAGGAATTTTTGAGGGTTAACGGTTGGGTTTATGGGTTATAATATATGTTATAATGAGTCCTAAACTGAATTAAAAGCCTTATCTTGGGGCTGAGATGCTGCTTCCTCTCTAGATGATTTCTCTCAACAAATTCAATTGTTTCTGACTGAGATGGGAAGGGTAAGTCGGCTGATGTGGGGCTCAGTCCTTGAGTTTCTACAAATATGATTTTTCAAAGAAAGACAGGAATTTCTTGATTGGAAAGTGGAACAAAATTTATTTAGGAAATGAAAAGGGATTGTGTAAGATTTGTACAAAGTCCTATTAATTCATTGTACACTATTGATGTTTATATGCATGTTCCCTGATAAAATGGCTGTTGTGAATTTGTAAGCACACTCTGCTCCTTACCTGCGTCTCTGCTATCATGTTCTCATCGGGTTTTAGGTGGACAGTAAAGGCCTCTCTCATCTCTCTTACTCCATCAAAGATTACTTCAATTTCAACAAAGTGCTGGTTTTCTCCCTCTTTAAACTCGATTTCTACAAATGCAAAGCCACAGAGTGAATCTTTCTATAAGTAATTTTAGTCAAGTTATTTTGATAGTGACCCACATAAGAAATACATTTTACAGTGAGGTCCTAGTAAGTGTGTATTTGTGTGTGTGTGTGTATGTGTGTGTGTGAATAAAATGGAATTGATAATATCATCAGTTATTCTTAGCATTGCACTCTATTGCTTTCTATTCTATTCCCTTTTATCCCAAGAAAAATTTAAATCATAAGTTACAAACTGATTCGTTGGCCCACAGTTTGAGAAAATGCTGAATCATGGGAAGGATGATCAACAGTTCTGATATTGGAACACAAGCAGACAAACTCAGCTCTAATTTTTCCAGAATTTCTTAACCAACAGGACATAAGTCAAAGAAATAAGATTGCATGAATTATCAAGTGTGAATAGCATTTACATTTTGTATACAAAATGTAAAATGTAAAGTTGGATATAAACTTACTGAGTTTTAACATATATCAAAAATATTTTTAAGACTTTTTGTTGATGTTAATCTTAGAATCTAAGGAAATTTTTTTAGATAAATATTTAGGATCTGCCCCTCCTCAAGAAAAATAATTGCTTCATTGTCATGAAAACTAAACCCAGTTATGAGAATCCTTTTTTAACCATTCACTTAGAAGTTCTTAAAACTTTAACAATTAATTTATTTCGCTGACTTCATGGACAAGACTCTGACCACATTATGATACTTGAATAAACTCTATTGTTGGCTTTACTATATCTTCTGAGAAACTGACTAAGGAGAAAAATTAAAGAACAGCGCAAAATCCTTCCAATGAGAGAGGCTGACAGACACTGCTTACCAAGGCAACTTCAGTTCAGCCAGGATAATCCTAAATCCTTTAAAATGTGGCAGAAGAAAATCTGTCTTCAACATATTTTTCTTTTCTGACTTCTATTTTTCAATTGACAATATGAAAAAGATTTTTTTCTTTAAAATGGAGGTAGCTCTGTTTCCAAATAAAGCTGTTTTCTACATTAGCCCCAGCAAGTTCTTGGAGTATATAGTCTTAGATTTCTCTGACCCTGAGTAAACTTATGGTGCTTGCAGAGGATGGAAAAAGCTGGCCATTTCTGTCCCACCAATTTGTTTGGCTTGACCTGTGGGACCTTGCATTAATAAGTCAGATTCTTACATTTAAAATTATGGGGATTCTCTAGGAAAATAGAATTGTGAGTTCTTTTGTACTCTCCTTCCTGACAATAGCCAGCAGGCAGTGACAGAAAGGATCTTCTCAGCAGAGAATGGATTTCCTGGCTCAATAGCCTTCAACACTCAACATTTTCCTTGAATTTGCCTTGCTTCACACATTTTAATTGCTTGCCGTAGGCCATTAACATTCCAGTTTTGCAACCCTCTGGGTTATGCAAGTCCCATTTCTAAGAAGTTAAAAACTTAATTATGTTAAATATTTAAATTATTGTTATCTTACAGTACAGTTGCTAGATGATAGTTTTCTTAATCACTTGAGTTTTCACTTCAGATATTTTTAGCACAAAAAGTGGATTTCCACTTTTATTCTATATTTAAATTTTTCTGTTCATTTGTAAAGGACTGACCTCAAGTTGGGCCATGAAAGGAGAAATTGGAGTTCCAGAACAGATCACTTAAATTTCTACTATAAATATGTTGTTTATTATACATTTAATATATAGTACACTAAATAGCATGTTGACATTACTGTTATCTAACTTTTTTGACTTCATTTGTCAGTTTACGGTATAGCTGTAATTTTGTTCTGTTTTAGCAAAATGAGGTTTTAACAGGTGCTTTCAAAAGTGCATTAAAAGGTGCTTCCTTCATGTAAAACCTGCTCATTCTAGAAATCCTAATTTTAGATTTTGTATTTAGCAGCTATCATTTTTTTTCTTTCCTTTTGGGTGGTATGTATTTTATTTCAAACATTTTTCTTTACATGAAGAATAATCCAAGATTAATGTTGAAATTCTACAGTATATCAAACTTTTACCAAATATACAAAGGAAAGTACAAGTGCTTTGGTAAATGATGTTATTTTTTCATTGTCTCAAACTTTTACCAAATATACAAAGGAAAGTACAAGTGCTTTGGTAAATGATGTTATTTTTTCATTGTCTCATTAATGTTATTACTGACTCAGTAGTATCTATCAGTCACTTTCTAAATTTTTCTAACAAGTCAGGAGATCAAGATGCATTTCTGTCATTCTATTATTATCAGGAACTAAAATGACTGTTGGGGGCATCCCTGGTGGCACAAGGAATTAAGCGCCTCACTATGAGGCAATCCACAGCCTCTGCAGCACAAGTTCGATCCCCGGCCAGCCTGGGAGCAACCCACATGGTGCAGCAGACCTCTCCTGTCTCGCCTGCTGCTGCCCTCAGCAGTGTTTTCAGTCAGTCTGCCTGTTCTGTTCCCCACTCTGTCTCTGGTGAATCCTCTCACACCCCACATCTCTGGGCCTGTACCCCAGCTCTTCTATGTATAAATAAATAAATCTTAAAAAAAAAAAAGATTGTTGGGAGTAAGGGGTAGAAAATTAGAAACAAAGTAGACAAGCAGAACTACAAATAACTTATAAATTTATCTTGCACATCAACTAATTACCTTTGTGCAAGCAAATAATCCAGAAAGAGACTGATTTGTTTTATTATTTATAAAAGGTAAAGGAAAAAGGTCCACAATTTGAAGGAAAGCATGTATGAACAGCTCCTGAGACCCAGAGAATTCATGCCTCTGTGGCTGGTATTTCTTTCATTGCTCCTATTATGACAACATTTTCTAGCTTGAAGTTTTAGATTGTTGGTATAAACTAAATGGACTTATTGTGACTATTGTGTACATTTTCAATGTAATCGAAAATATCAGGAAAGTCATTATTGTTTATGTTATTAATGTTTGATAACTGCTAATGAAGATAAAACCTATTGAAAATAAAGTAGACTCAACACTGAAGGTCATCTAGCATGTCTGCCCAAAATTTCCCTAAGTTTAAAAACATATACCCTGTAAGACAAAAAAGGAAAATCCTGGAAATCAATTCCATTGTGTTTGTTTTTCCGAAGAAGATTCATTTAAAGGAGTGTGTCTATTTTGGTTGCATATTTTTTTCTTTTTCTCAAGGTCTCTCACATTAACACATCATATTAGCATACCCCACACTTTTGGAGAGGACCCTCATACCTTCCGACACAGGATGGTAGTCTTCTCCGGAGGTGGCCGAACCGTCCTTGGTGTGGACTCTCACAACAGAAACTTTGGAAATGTCTCCTTGGCGAATCACTGGAATTTTTACCACCGACGACTGTCCTGGTTCTCTGGGCTCACTAACGCTAAATTTAGTTTCTCCAAATTTAATAATTGCCTCTAAAATTGTGAGAAACATGAACAAATGAAAATATAAGAGGAATACTTGTTCTCCATATCTAATTTTTATGTCCATGTGGATGAGTTTGCTACCTAAGACTGTCCACTCTAGGCCCTCTCTCTTCCCTCACCCAATATGTTAGCAGAGACTGAGTATGCATAGCCCCACTCCTTCCCTGGAACTTAACCAGCTCCCAGGGAGCATGTGCTCTGGGCTCTATGTGTCATAAGTTTTACGGAAGCAACCCCCTGAGAGTGGGGAAGGAGGGAGGAAACTGTTGGATTGACCACAAGTACCTCAGGTTGGGGGGTGTGTGTGTGTGTGTATGTATGGGGGGCTGTGGGGTAGGGGGAGCTAAGTATGTTTGGGATTCAGCATTTAGATAAAAACCATATTCTCAAACATTAACCTTTCATTTTAACGGTTTATTTCACTCCCTATTTTGACTTAGTCTTTTTCCCTATTTCTCATCACTTTAAAACCCTAGTTAGACAATGGAAGTGATTTTCTGTTACCTAAAACTTTAACATAGATCTATTGCAGTTTCCCATTTATGGTACCAGAAATAGCTTCTTACTATCAGCATCATCTCGGATCCTGATCAGAGTTTCATTTTGTTCACCAACTGCAGCCCCAAAAGGAGAGTTACTTTGAGGAGTGCCCAGAACCAGACGGAGTTCCTCCACCTCCTCGTATAGCGCATCATCCATCAGCTCAAGGACACAAGGCTTTTCAATCTCACCTGAAACAATGATGACAGCATTTTTAAAAAAGATTTATTTATTTATGCATACAAGAACTGGGATGTAGGCCAGAGGTGCAGGGGGTGAGAGGATTCACTAGAGGCAGAGTGGGGAGGAGAACAGGCAGATGGACTGAAATACACTGCTGAGGGGAGCAGCGGGCGAGTCAGAGAAATCTACTGTGCCATGTGGGTAGCTCCCTGGCCAGCCGGGGATCGAACTCATGCTGCAAAGGCTATGGATAGCTTCACAGTGCTGTGCTTGACCTCTTACACCACCAGGGAGGCCCATGACAGCATTTTTGAGACTTATCTTATAGTCTCCAAAAAAGATGTCTGCTAAGAACATAAGACCACAAGGGCAAGGATGTTGCTTTTTCCCCCTTGCTGTATTAATAGTGCAAAGAGCTGTGTCTGGTATATTAAACCTATTAAACCTTCAATAAATAGTTGCTGAATGATTGACTAATGGAACACATGCAATATTAGATCTTGATTTATACAAGGAATCTCTTAAATGTCTGTCTTTAAGTTTTGTCACTCATCTTAAAAAGCAAGGGAAAAAGCAAATACCAATTTTGTTTATGATTTTCTAACATCAAGATCAGAAAGCAAATCTAGCAGCTTTGTGCTGGTTTGGTCATTGTTAATTTGACGGCAGTACTAGTTTCTAGTATAATTATTGGATCAAAACGATCAAGTATTTTAAGACTACGGGTACAGATTAAAACATGACATCTATTTCCTTTCATTTCTGACATTTAAGCAGCTCTCAGTTTCATAAAACTTATACATTTGATCTGCTCTTAGCCACTGAATAAGTTTTGGAAAAACAATATAGCACATCACTGGAAGCTAATAAATAAGTGGATACGGACATAAAAAGGACTTTTATGGAACCATTTACAATCTATCTCACCTTATAATCAATTAGTGGGTATGAAATCACCTTATAAACTTGTTGAAGTCAAGAACTTGTATTTCTCTCACATATATTTCTTACCAAAACCCTGGATTCCTCAAAATTCAAATACAAATTACAAGCTCATACTCCTCAGTTTTTCAAAAAGACAAAATAGTGTCTTTTGGGATAAAATGGATAGACCTTGAGGTTATGATGGTAAGTGAAATAAGTTCAGAAAGTGAAAGACAGATATTGGATAGTTTCATGTCTCTGTGGCATATAAATAACCAAAAGACATGTACTGGCAAAGCACAGCAGAAGCAATTGTTAGACCTCATGAAAAATATACTGGTTACCAGAGGGAACGGGGGAGGGAGGAGAGGACAGGGGAATGTACGGGGAAGGGAATTGGCAGGGAGGTTAGGTGGAGGATGAATGAAGCAGATGCATAAATGGGACCAAAGATGTATTAGCAAAGTCACATAGACATATAAGCTACTTATAATTTAAAAAATGGGAAAGATTTATACTGGAGGATCTAACCAGTAAGAGAATAAAAATAAAACATCATTATAGTGCAAAAAATTTAATGAATCAAAAAAAATTATAAGCTCAAACTTACCAGGGAGGAAAGTGATGACAGAGATTTCAGTGTTGGGGCGCTCTTCAAAGTCCACCATGACTTGTGCAGACCCCTGCCGTGTGTAGCACCTCACCGAGGACCTGTACTGGATATCTCCACCCCTGTGGATCATCGCCACTACCTGCCCATCATTTTCATTGCCAGTATATACTCGTTCTTTGAATTGCATCTTAGGCACTGCAAAAACAAGTAAACATATGGATCAAGTGAGCATAAGGTTGCTCAAGAAAAATGGCATTTCAGAAAATGTGACTTAGTAGAAGGGATAATGGGATAGAAATGAGAATTGGATCCCAATCTCCACTCAGTCACTTGCCAATGTTTTGGCTTTGAGCAAATCACTTAACTCTCAGTGTTCTCATTTTTGAAAGTTTGCTCTGCCTATTTTTGTGCAGTAAAGAGATACAACGAAATGCTAAAAAGTGGAAACAACTGGATACTATGATATCTATATCAATATGTTGCTGAAACATGTATTTTTCAGGATTTCTGATAACACTAAATATTATACACATTTTTAAGCACAGTTGTCATATATACTGTGTATGTATGTATACAGTAATGACCCTGACTGATGGGAGGGGAGGGGTTGCTCAATTACAATAGAGCATCTTAAGTTATCAGCCACTTGTTCAAAGACACTGATCAACATATAAAAGGCAAAGCTGGATAAAAATCTGGCTGTGTGAAGAGGCCCCTGTAGTTCAAAATTGACAGGTGGTCCTGATGTCTTATCAAGAAGTGAAATAAATATGGGTACAGAAGTTGAGGGCAATTTGAGATGCTCATGGACTCCATGACTGTGATCCTGGAGCCTTCTTCAGAGTATGTTGAGGGCCTCTGGGAGACTCTTGCTTTAGAAGAGGCATGTCCTCCTCCTAGCAGAGGATGGATTCCCGGAGCTCTCTGGATCAGTTGCCAGTCTCTCAAACTTTGCCAAGAGGTTCATTACCCGGGACCTCCCTGGTGACTCAAGAGGTTAAGACACAGCACTAAGAGGCTATCTGCAGGCACTGCAGCACAAGTTCCATCCCTGGCCATGGAGGTGACCCACACGGCACAGCAGACCTCTCTTGTGGCACCCACTGCTCCCCTCAGCAGGGTCTTTCAATTTGCCTGTTCTGCTCCCCATTCTTTCTGTGGTGAATCCTTTTACCCCCCTGCACCTCTAGCCTGTACCCAAGTTCTGGTATGAATAAATAATTTTTTTTAAAAGAGACGTTCATTACCAGATCTTCTTTTTTGCTGCTAATTGTATGCTTATATTATTGTAATGTGATTCCCCCAGTAAATCCATATTGTGGTTATATGCATTTGGCTTGAAAGTGAAATCTTCCTGCTTCCTAAAAGTTAGCACTCTGGGGATTCCAAACCTGATAAAATAATAGTTTATCAAGACTATGTTGAAAAAATTGGTAAGTATGAAATTACGTGTGTGTGAGTGTGCATCTATATAATAACTAGGTGATATTCACGCTGGGTCAATCAAACATAGGACTAATTCACAAAAGGTTGGATGCCTCCAAGCAATGTCAAGATCATCAAGGTTGAAGATTATTCAGAATCCCCTTATGATGACATGTGAGAACCCCATTATGCATACAGAAGCTGGGTATCTTAAAACAATGATTTTGGCACCTTATTAAGGGAATTTCAGGAGTGTCTGTGTATAGAGGTGACAGAAAATGTCTTGTATTGAGAAATGGAAAAAAAAGACCTTTGGCACTCAAATTTCTATGCAGCCTTGTGTAAAATGTTGTGTAGTTCTTCCCAGCCATGGTGAAGAAATTTTTGAGGCACAATCAAGATATTAATTATAATCTCACTCTTTTTTAATTTGCAAGGAAAGGAAGACTAAAATTTTTCTTCAGAGATTAATTCTGTCAAAATGATCAAGAAGAGAAAGAAGACCTGGTCAACCCGGGTATTGTTTTTTTTTTTAAAATTAATTAATTAATTAATTAATTAATTTAAGCACTGGGTACAGTCAGAAGTGTGGGAGGGTGAGAGAATTCACCAGAACCAGAGTGGAGAACAGAACATCCAGACTGACGAAATACACTGCTGAGGGGGGCCTCTGCTGGTAGCGCTGCGGTTGAGTGCTGGGCTGCGAGGCTGCCCACAGCCTCTGCAGCGTCGGTTTGTTCCCGGGACGCCGGCGAGGGTCCCACAGAAAAAAAAAAAATACACCGCTGAGGGGAGCAGCGGGCGGCAGAAGAGGTCTGCGCGCCATGTGGGACCCTCGCCTGGCATCCGGGGATGGAACCGGTGCTGCAGAGGCTGTGGGCAGCTTTGCAACCCAGCGCTCAACCGCTGCGCCACTGGGGAGGCCCAATCTGGCTATTGTTATGGGTTGAACTGTCCCCTCCAGATTCACAGGTTGAAGTCCTAACCCTCAGTACCTGAGAATACAATCTTCGGATACAGGGTCTTTACAGAGGTAATTAAATAAAAGTGAAATCATTAGGTGGGCCTTAGTCAGCTTAATTGGTGTCATAAAAAGAGAAAATTTGGACACACGAGACATACACAGAAGATGCTGCAAAGACACATAGAAAGAAGATGACCATCTATAATTCAAATGTAAGGAAACAACCTCGTAGAAATCTTGATCTTGGATTCTTAGTATTCAGAACCGTGAATCAATAAATTTCTGAATCTGTAATACATATTTATGGCAGCCCTACCAAATTAATACAAGTATATAAATCCTAGTTTATTACTTGTTATTTGTACAAACTGTAGCATAGCATTATCATTGTAAATTAATAAGCACTCACAATCTGAGATAGTGTCATTTATGAACACTGTGGCTTTGTTGGGCTCTCCGAGTGCTGCATTCATTGGCATACGAAGCACCAGTTCAAATTTCTCAATTCCTTCCAGCACTGGTTGTCCAAGATCATCCAGAATGATCACACGAACAGTCTGCATGTTGACTCCAGGTGCGAAGTCTAAGTTGCGACTGATTCCCACATAGTCTGTTCCAGCTTTGACAGCAACAAAAGAATTACTCAACTGGGGACTGACTAAATTTAAACAAAATTATGAGACATACATTATGCAGATTTATGTATAATTACTTTAAAAACACAGACCAGCATAACATTACAGAAATTTGTATTTAACAAATTTTACATTATTATCAACACTGGCTATTGATATGGGAGAATAAAGATCAGGTTGTGAACATTATTTTAAGTATGTCTGGTGAGCTATTTCAGTTTTAGTTATTTTAACTTTCTAGCTTATAATTTCCCCATCTTTATTTTGGAATGAAGAATAAAATAATCGCATGTCAATAAAAGAGATGATGATCATGAATGTCTATATGAAATATAGCTGTTTAAATTTTACAAACATTACTAAATATCTATGGTTATTTTTAGGAGCACCTACAGAAGATCCTGTTTAGGTGAGTGGTTGTCTGCTGGTTAAGTCAACAAATTTTAGATTCAAGATTTTGTTCTACAAGCTTCACCCACACTTGTTCCAGGGGAGGAGGTCAATCCTCTATGCTCAAAGACATATTTGGGTTTTGGATTATTATTTTTTAGGCCAGGGTGGTACATACTTTGGGCTCACATTTTTATTTATGCTTAAAGTAGTTAAAAATAAAACAGTATGTTAATCTTTAGGCATAATAACTATAAAGACTGGGCATGGAGGAAAACAGTCCAAGATTATTGCTTCTTTCTTAATTTTCATAACTTTTGCTCTTGGAATGCTCACTTTTTATCTGCTTATGAGTATGAAATGAATATATCTGTCTTTAATTCATTTTTAAAAATCTCTATCAATAATCTCTTTGTGTCTCTGCATTTTTCTTTTCTTCTGCCTCTTTACCTTTTCCCTCCTCTTTCTGATTCAAATTGTCTCTTAAAAATAAATAATTTGGTTAACAAATATTTACTGGACAACAACTTCATGCAAAGTATTATATTCGTCCCACTGCATTACAAAAGATGAAACTTAAGGGTAACTTTTAAGATGAGGTGGAAGCCACTTGTTTTATATGATAAATGTGTGATTTGTCTGTGATGTGTATGTTTGTGTGTATGAATACAGAAAAAGAATTTGTGTTTTTGGTAATTTAGAAGAGAAAAAAAGTAATTTTCTTATTTTATGCTTACCCTAAACTATATGATCACTTTTGTGGTGATGTAGATTCCAGAATAAAGGGTAATCATATGTCAGATGGGACAGATTGTATTATGAAGTATGGAGAATGCTTTGGGATTTGAAGTATATGTGGGGACATCTGTTAAAATAAGGAGGGAACTGAGGTGGACAGGCATCACTGCATAACACTCAATGTCACTAGATTGCTTTGAGGGTGACCATCAAGATTGTTCTTGCCTTGTATATGGTGTCATAATAGTCAATGATGCTAGATTTCCCAAGTGAAGAGAGAGAATTCACAGATAGATAAATATAGGCATTAGAATGTAAAGATTTTGACTTATATTTTGTCACTTATCTTCTGATTTGGGGCCCTAATGTATTTTCCTGCAGTATCAATACAGTCCAGATTTACCTGCCAGATTATCACAATTTCAGAAAAAAAAATCCATTCAACTAGACTGTCTTAATAAGAATATTTTAGCTTTAACACATTTTGTGTAATGAAACTGCTCACCATCGGCAGAGGGAGGCTCTGTCTTCCTTGATCTCACAGTGACACTGGAAGACCTGGACAGGTCAGTGCCAGTCCTCCACACCTGCACTTCCACATAGCCTGTGCTCTCATCTACTGAGTACTTGACGTCGCCAAAGTAGAATATGGGTTCTATTAAAACAAAGAAGAAACCATTTCTGTTATTTCCTTTCCCACATCAAATTCTACTGATGTAATTCCAAATAGGAGTTATATTTATCTTATTGGTTCTTATCATCATCACATATTTTTTTCCCATTAGCAAGAAAACATTTCTTTAAGAGGAGAATTTCTATAGTTTTCAGGTCAAAATGCCTCTGTTAAAAAACAAAAATAGATATGGTAAGTGCCCAGTGGAACATTCTAATGTGGTGGTGTGTGTTATTTGACTTTATGTGGGATTATAAATGGTTTCTATATGGACTTCCTGGAAGGTAAAAATAGAATCAAAATGAAACAAGACAAAGTAGAATGACATTTTATGAGTTTGACCCTACTATTCATTTTGTTATTCCTTAGTGAATCTTCATCCTGGAGACTATTTACACCATGACATTTTTTAACCACCTAGATGGGCCATAATCCAGTGTACTTTGGCCTGAAATAACCACGAGAGCTAGCAACTATTGGTGTAGTGAAATTGATTACATATGGGTCCTGGAGGCTTAGAGCAGGATCTTGTCATCATTACCAGGGCATGGTTGTAGACGACCTGGGAGGTTAGGAGGATGTCTAAACCAACTGGGGTCCCAGTAGAGAAATAATCAGACATCAAATATGTATAAAAGTGATGTGATTTAGGTGATTAAAGTAGGACACATACTGGAGAATTTGTATTTTTTCCAGGATTGGTGATGAATTGATCTAGCCATTGCTCCCTATATGATTCCACAGGTGACCATCAATTGATCTTGTGAGATTGTGACCAGAAGTCTGAGGTATAGCAGTTAGCTGACCAGTAAAGAAAACTGAGTGATATTGTCTGTGCTTACTTTAAAATAAAACAATTATTTTTAAATATTTATAGACTCACAATAAGTTGGAGAAATAGATAGAGCATATACTTTATCCACTGAGAACTTTTTTATATGCAACCATTAACAATGAAAAATTAATCAAGAAAATACACATATACAGTGAATAGCCCTTTGACTTGAGACATTTTAGTCATCTGTGTCTGGTTTTACAAGACTCAAAAGAACTAAGTATAAAAGGTCATGCAATTCATACCCATGTTCTTAAAACACAAAGCCATTTAGGAGATATCCAGTATGTTTCAGAGCATCTAATCGAATTACCAAGCACATAACATCAAACAAAATCCAATAGTCATGGCTCGAAACTAAAGGAAAATCATTCTGTGCACTGCTCAAATTGAGTGAGCATTCTTAATTTTCCTGCCCCAAGTAAATTATCATTAATAAAAGTGGAAATTGTATTTTCTTTGTATCGTCATATGAGGACATGATAAAAAGTATATATAGCTCCCCCAAACTCTTGAATAATACAAAATCCACCTTGGAAATTTTGTTTGCATATTTTGGTTTAAGGAGTGATAAATGTCCCTACAGCATACTTCACCTCCTCATCCTTTCAACTTGGACGGTGCTTGGGCACGTGAGTGTGTGTGTACAGATGGACGTGTTATCTTAGTCAAAGCAGACCTCAAATACACACCAATAAATTCCTTACATTTCTCAAGCCTAAGTAGGGGGCAAAGGTGAAAACAGCCCCCAAAATGGTTATTTTGACCAGATGGCCAAACCAGGCACATCTGTGTGTCTCTTAAAAGGCTTTTATAGTTGTTACAGAGGTCTGATCATCAGTAGCCAACAAGTAGCTCCCCAAGTTGCTTTGCATTCCTGGCAAACCACATCATACAAATTAGGCTTCTGAGCAGTGGGAGGACCACCTATTATATAAATAAATAATGATACCTCTCCCTATTCCTCACAGATATATCTGGAAGTGGAACAGAATGAGATCATGTGAGTGCACAACTGCTAATCACTCAAAGCTCTATAACTTAGAGACAAAACTGTGTTCTTTGTGCCCATTCTGTCAACTGCAGATCAAGGATTTGAGATAGATAAGTAGATAGATGGATAGATAGCTAGATAGCCCTATATAATACATTGAATTTTTTTAAATCCAAGTTATCATAAAAGAATAAAAGATAAGAATAAAAGAATAAAAAAATAAAAAAGAATAAAAAAATAAAAAAGAATAAAAGATAAGGATAATAGTCACCATACATAGAACATTCAATATGTGTCTGACATGTGCTTTGTGTGTGTGTGTGTGTGTGTGTGTGAGAGAGAGAGAGACAGAGAGAAGGTGAGCAAGGAGGAGAGAGAGGTAGGAGTGTACAGCATATGCAACAAGCAATAAATTATGATTTATGTGAATGATCAAACCATGTTATATTACCTATTGTATAGGATGTTGTTACCACCAGTAGAAAGAAAGAGGGAGAAAGGAAAAGGGTTTTAATTTTCAATCTCTCCATTTTACCCCAGCAGCTAATAGAAGGCATATGAAAAGGTATTTATTTCCTAAAATGAATTCTTTTTAATCAGCAGATTATATTATGTATGTGACTTATCTCCTAATCAGTACTCCACACATGACAACTGGAAAAAAAGGGTCCATTAATCAATTATAATAATTTCTGTTAAAAAATAAACAATTACCTGTGAGATCTAACACAATTTAATAGTTTTTATAATAAAAACAACTCTTGTCAATTACCTAGCTTCTTATGCCATGAACAAACAGAAATAGGTATATATTAACACCTATATCCTTTCAGTGTAGGTGAATGAGAACTGAAATTGTTATTTCAATTTCTTGACACCTTTTTAAAAAATCTCTAAAATTTAAAATGTTGTTTATATTTGTTGCCATTTGTTACCATTTGGACAGAATCTTAAATAAATTAGTAAAACTCCTTCAGGTAATGAGTTGAGTTGTAAATAGCACTCAAGGTATATGAGTGGATTTTTTTTTAAATTTTTTTTTTAATTTTATTTTTATATTCCCCAAACAATTGCAACCCCTTTATTTTGACCCCAATCCCTCCCCCCGCCCCCCTCCCCTCGTAAAGTGTCTCTGGTTCATAGTTGTTTGTTGATTATGATTTTCACTTTCTTACAGATATTCATTTTCCTGGTCCCTTATTTAAGTTTTCTAGATTCCTGCTATGAGTGAGACCATCCGGTATGACTGGATGTTTTTAATGCATGTTAACGGGTTCTATGTCATGAGCAGATGAAAAGGATGAATGAAGACTGTCAATGATTGAAATATATGCAAAATCCAGAAGAATTGCTTGTTTCAGCAAATTATTATAATCATGAGTAAGATTTTAATTCACCTCTCTTTGGTAACTCAGTTTTTGTCTATGAGCTTGGTTTCTTTTAGAAGTTAACTGTAGGGCCTCCCCGGTGGCGCAGCGATTGAGCGCTGGGTTGCGAAGCTGCCCGCAGCTTCTGCAGCGCCGGTTCGATCCCCGGCCACCAGGTGCGGGTCCCACATGGTGCACAGACCCCTTCTGTCACCTGCTGCTCCCTTCAGCAGTGTACCTCAGTCCTTCTGCCTGCTCTGCTCCCTGCCCTGGCTCTGGTGAATTCTCTTACCCTCCTGCGCTTCTGACCCAGTGCTTGTATAAATAAAATAAATAAATCTTAAAAAAAAAAAAGAAGTTAACTGTAGACATTTATCAATTAGATTTGGAAATACCCACATTACAATTTAATGTTAATTAGGAAAAATCTATTAAGTCTGTAAACAATACACCGTGCTATGTAATTTGCCAATTTTAATGGAGAAGATAGACAGTGGCTGAATGTTATTATCTGGAATGAGAGCGTGATCAAATGAAACCACCATATCTGCCAGCCAACAACCACATAAAACCATAAAACAGTGATTCCACATCAATCCCCCACCCAGGAATCACACTCCAGAATGTTTTTATTACCTCTGCCGAGAAAGATAAATTATCCAAATCGTGTGTGAGCAGTGCAAGGGAGGTTTTAAATTGGCCTCTTGGAATAGTGTGAAATTCATAAAGGAAGCCAAATTCTACTCTTTGTATCCTTTGTGTTGTTGACCTTTCCAGTAAAGAACACAGATCAAGGCACAGACTACAGAAGAGTCTATTTTAGCTCATTACACATGAATATGCTATTCAAGTTTGGGGATACTTTCACTATAAACAGCACACATCGGAGCATGTTTGTTTAGCTATGAGGAGTGTAGCTATGAGGAGGCTAAGCAAGCCACACACCACACACACCTGCAGCAAAGATGAAGGGAAAATAATTTAAGTTGTTTTTTTTTTCCCCACAGGGAAAAAGTGAACTTTTTCTTTTGGCTAAGTCTGCGGTGTCTAGATTGATGTTTACCATTACATTGTGTCTCGTGAGATGAAAGGAAGAGGTACCAGTAGTAATTGTCATCTGGAGCCAAATCTTATTTACTCACGTGTACATGGACCATCAGTCAAGTAAGCTTTGTAGCTTTAACATGTTTGCTCAGAACTGAATGAAATGAAAGCTTTTATGCTGTCTTTTGGTTCAATGCTGAAAATAATACAAAGCAACCTCCCCTGAATTATTTCCAATTCAGATCTCTCTGCTGAGGTTTAGACTTGATAAGCACGTGCCTATTCAACCCAGTGCCATGGCAGCTCAAGTCAACTTCTCCCAAAAAGAGTAGACAAGAGTCACCGCTACTCTCAACTCATGGTTTCCCTCTGTCTCACTGCCAATACCCTCGATGTGGCCAGCGTCACCTGTCAGTTGAATTACAACAGACTCTTATCCAAAGAGGGCATAATTCAAAACAAATCTCATCCTGGTAATCCCTTTATTGAAAATGATTCAGTGTTTTCCATTGTTCTTAAGATTGTTTATTGATTCCTAAACAAGACACTGAAACATCTGATCTCAGTTTGCTTTTTAAAATTCATTTTAGTCCTCTTAGCACCCTGTCTTGAATGTCCTTAAAGTGATATTCCCAGTGTCTGCTACACCACCCCACCACCTTTGCTTCAAGCCATCCCCCACCCCCGCACGTCCTCCCATGAGGATCATTCCTGCTCCTTTTAGGCTTGAGTCTAGAAGTCA